GGGGGGGGGGGGGGGGGGGGGGGGGGGGGGGAGAGAACAGATAACAGATAGAGAAACAAGAACAACGTAAGGGAAACAGAATGTTATCCCTTGCGGCAATCAATTGCGCATCGGTCCATTGCTTTTAAGTAGGGATCTACTCACAAAAGTTTGAATAGTTTTAAAGAATTCATTATGTTCTTATATTTTTCTTGCTGCTTTAGAGCGCTGGTAACCGTATGGTTGTGTCTGAAGGTAGATTGATTTCGAAAAATACGTTTGGAGGCTACAACCTCGCGAGACAATTGAGGGAATACAAGAAGTCTGTGGAAGATGTTCTGATTGAAGATTTTATTAGAGGTGTAGCGGTCAATACAGACTACTTATCCAATATACAAGTAAGAAGCGTTCAAGTTCAGCAATAGGCCGAGTTTCTTCCGTTACTTCTTCCATAATTCCTCATTCATTCATTCGTTCGTTCGTTCGTTCGTTCGTTCGTCCGTTCGTTCGTCCGTTCGTTCGTCCGTCCGTTCGTTCGTTCGTTCGTTCGTGCGTGCGTGCGTGCGTCCGTTCGTTCGTCCGTTCGTTCGTCCGTCCGTCCGTCCGTCCGTCCGTTCATTTATTCATTCTTTTTTCCCCCTTTTTTTCCTCTTGTAAATATGGGAATACATTTGTAATAATATGTATTGCTTTGCAGAACGAGGGACCAGATCATCTCCCTCAGCAGGTTGGCGATCCTCAGGATTGTGCACTTTTGCAATTTGTACTCGAATTAGGCAAGACGTATCAGCATTACAGGGATGAGCACCCATACGAGAAGCACGTCCTATACAAAAGCTTTGCCAATGATCCCCCAAATCAACAGTACAATGCAACAGTGATTAGGCTTTCGGATCCAGAGACGTATAGGGTTTATGTAAGGGGAGGGATTGGCTTTGTGCTGAACAAATCCAAACGAATCCTTCATAACCATCCTGATGGCGCGATAGATCTTGATGATACGCAAAAATATAACATCAGAAGTGCTGTTGAAAAGATGGAGAAAAGAGATGTATTCCCTGTTGCATTTGCTGTGAAAGACATTGAAATCAAAGGTAAGATGTTCTTGAATCGAAAAAAAGAGTTTCTGTCAGTACAACATTGAGGAATCTCAATAACTGTATAACTGTATACTGGCTAAATATATCTGATATATAATCCACAGCTAACAGCGGTACACCAGACTGGAGCAACAAGGATGTCATCTTGTCCGACCTGATGTTCGTTGGTTACTTGGGGCTCAAGGAAACGATAAGGGGAGAGGTAAAGAGTTGAATGCAATCAAGAGGCGCAAACCCCTGCAATCACAATGGAACCAACAGGGGCAAATAACCCATTTTAAAAGAGTAGTATATTCTAAGAGTTACCTATAGACACATCATACTAAGGAGATATAGCTAGGGGGAAAGGTGCTTGTCGGCAGTGTGGACAGCGGCATTCGTGCGAAAGTAGAAGGTCGGGACCACGTCGTTGTGGCTGGGTAGAAGGGTTATTATGAAGTTATTCTTCTTCAAAGGCCTGTGAAAGTTTTAATTTCTATTGCGAAAAGCATTGAATGAATATATGAAGTCAATGCACCTTCATTTCAGTGTTCTATTTCTGTTTTACATTTAATTGTATAAACCTTGATATGCATATAGGTAGCCAATGCCATCGAAGAATGTCAAAAAGCTGGACTACAAGTTACTATGGTAACGGGATCAAGCTTACAATCAGCAGGAGCCTTCGCCAAGAAGTGCGGAATTCTTCAGCCCACCAAAAATTGGCCAGTCAAAGAGAACAGTGTATTCGGTATGGATATCCAAGCCTTTGATAAGGAAACCCTTGGTAACTCAGGGAAGGTTTGTATTCGGTCGTTTGCACATGAAGTCATAGCCGCCATCTTGGTTGAATTTAACAAAAGAACTTGGCACTGAATTTTTTCGTTATAAAAACCAACATGGCAGCTGTTTCTTTCGTTACACACGCCAGGTCCGATATCACGTTATGTCACGACACATCACATAATGTAACGTAACTTGATTAAGAAGGGAAAGGAGTCGTAACTTTTGGAACTTTTACAGATTGATCAAGGCAAGTTTGACAAAATTTGGCCCGACAATCTACGTGTGTTGGCTAACTGCCCTCCAGGCAAAAAACAGTCGATAGTGGAAGGAGTCAAGGTTAGCAGGCTCAAAGAAAACGGCGAGGTGGTGGCCGTGGTGGCTTCTGGGATACATGATGGACCTTTCATAAGAGAAGGAGATGTGGGGTTGTCAATGGTATGTTATCGACTTGGTTTGTGCGAAATGTTCATCAACTGAATCGCAAGTTTTCAATAGCATCAGTTTTTTCTGGTTGACAACACATGATAATAAGTGTCAAACCATCATTTGGAGAAGAAAATAAGATTAAAAGACTTTAATTAGCTGATTGAAACCCAGAAATTCCATTTTGCAAATATCATAAAATTTCCAAAAATCCCAAAAAATTCCGAAACCTATAGGGTGGCGTCTCTCTGGGAAATCTTCAAATTTCTGACCCCAATGATGCTTTAGAAACACATCCACAGATACATGTATGAAGGTAACAAACTTTTTTCTGGTCGCCAGGGTGTTAGCGGATCCAATGTAGCCCAAGAGGCAGCAGACATCATCCTTAAGACGGACAACTTTAGTGGCGTCCTGGAAACAATCAAATGGGGCCGACACATTTACGAGACGGTTCTGAAGTTCTTACAGTTTCAGTTCACTGCAACATGGGTTACACTGATCGTCTTGTTAGTCGGTGCCATTGTCTTTCAGGTAATTCTGATATCCAGGTATTCTCGGTATGAAGATTGAATGGGAAGAGTGATTTTTCTTCCTGAACGAAATTGAAACTGTGATTTTTTCGATCAACGGAAAACGAAACATGGAAAAAACACCAGTGTTTTGGCTGCGCCATCCAGGCTGTAGTGAGGTCTCGGTCATAGGGGGTGGCGGGGGAGGGGGGGGGGAGCTATGTACCATTTTCCCGCCACTACACACGCGCGCATGCGTTTCATCTTTAGAGTTTCCCGCCACATCCACAGGTTCAGTCTAACTTCTTTGGGAGGGGGAGTGGAGGGTAGGGACGGTCGCCCCTCTAATGCTACGTCACTAGCCACATCTTAATTTTGTCTTCATTTCGTTTTCAGAAAAGCCTGTTTTCAGCTGCTCAACTTCTTTGGCTTAACCTTATCATGGATGCTCTGGCATCTATTGCTCTCACTGGCGATAGTCCATCACGGTCCATCCTTCGCCACAAGCCATACGGTCGGGATAAACCTCTAATGTCACGATCCATCCTAAGAAACATCATTGGGCACTGCATCTATCAAATCGCCGTGATCTTCATCATTATATTCCTATTTGCAGGCTTTACAGATACTAAAGATGGATACACTGATAAAAACATTTGCGAACCCAGCCAGCATGCCACAATGGTGTTCACCACCCTCATCTTCATGCAACTTTTCAATAAGATAAACTGTAGACGTGTGGAAGACAGGAATGTGTTCTGTGACAAGGATGGCCGATTCGATTGGGTCTTTCTTCTTGTTATTCTCTTTTGCTTTGGTATTCAGGTAAGGAATATACTGAATTGCGCGCATTTATGGAATTGAAATGAAATGAAACTGTTATTTATTCAGGATTTATTCCATTGATATCAATAGGAGCCCTCGATCTGACTATAGAGTAATGTTATATACTTGGATTCCTGGTACATGGGAAGACCATTTTCGAGTTTGTTTCGAGAAAATTATTTGACTGTCTAAATCCCCCTATGGTCTCATTTGCTAAATCTTTAATGAATTTTAATATTGATTTTCTAGATCATCATCGTCTTTTTCTTCCACAACGCCTTCCGCGTTCGTCCCATGGATGCACAACAGTGGTTATGGTGCCTCTTTTTTGGTTTCTCGGAGCTGTTCTGGGGTCAAATCGTCTTTACTATTCCTAAGAATGTCATCCCCAGGAAGATGCGTTGCTGCAGTAGGGGTGTGCCCCCAAAACGATCAGGATGTTGCTTCTTCTTCAGGGGGATCAGGAGCAGAGAGGAGGTGAACTTAAAAGATTGTCTTTCTGTAACGGATCTCTAGGGAATAGAAAGTGTATGGTGTGTATAGGTTTAAGGAGTATATTCCAAGGGAGCGGGCGTGGAGTATTTATGGACAGAGCCATGTGCGCGTTAGTGGTATAGTAGTAGTTGCGGCTATATACGACTGTCAAAGAGGTTGAACGAAATACAAAAGGCTGAAAAGAATTTGTTCTACGTGACGATAAAAATCTAACACTTGTCTTGCCATTTTCTTCAGGTTGACGCTCCAGCCGAATTTTACGGAATTGGAAGCCATAATCCAAGACAACCGAGGAATCCCGTTGGCCCTGAACGAACATGAAGAAGACCGTTTCTGATACCGAAACCACAAGATAAATTCTTTGATGAATATAAAGGGAAAAATCAAAAAATTACCTTGAAGTAATGCTACGATAATACAAATAGTATTGGTCAATATTGATGACTTGCATTTAATTTGTTTGAATGTTGACAATAGTCCCCTTCCCTACGACATCTTGAAAGGTAGCATTGCCCTTGCATCGAAGCAAGACCAACGGTGAGCTTGCAATAATAGAGACCCTTTTTTAACACCTTGGACAATTATTCACGTCTCTATCATTACAAGTTCACCGTTCGTCTCGCTTCGATGCAAAGACACGGTTCCCTTTAAGATGGCGCCGGGAACCAAAGGGACTATTTTTTACTCGATAGCCGATCTGATGATTAAGCACCTTAAGACAGTTTCGCATTATTTTTGCTGTTTATACATATCTTATATATTTTTATAACTTTTTTTATATGTATCCTGCACAAATAATAGCACAGAATGAATCGAATCATGTGCGATATAGTTGAGACAACCAAGTCTCAAACTTTCCACATACATTTATAATAGTGTTGCAAGTAATAGTTTTGTTGTTGTGTTTCCAATTCCACGTGGAACCAATGTTATTTGCGGTAAAGAGAAGCGGGGAAAACAGCACAAAAACGAAATACGAGAAAATATATGTTGCGCAAGGAGTGAACGCAATGCAGTTGTGCAACGCAAAGATTTTGATAAAGTTACATTCACGCCTATAGTTAGTCATTGTCAACCTGCACTCTATTAGAAAGAAGCCAAATGCAGTATTGGTTCATATCCAATAAAACCAAGTACGACAAATAATACACAAAAACCGCATCTATTATTGAAGATTTCAAAGGAATCCAAAGAGAAGCACGTTTAGATTGTCGGGCTTACGTTAAACGAAAATTGTGGTCTCTTTTTGTGTCTTGTCGATGACTGAAGGGAAACTATTTTTACTAAATTCGGCGAGCAGCTCCCAAACGAATATATCTTTGGTTAAAAGGATTAATAATTCAAGTTTTAGTTCAGAAAACCGACAAACAAAAGCGTGTTTCTTAAAATAAATCATAGGCATTAATAAAACAAGACGGTACCGTCTTCCATGACAACTTAGGTTCTATTTTTTAGATAAATGTCATGGATAAAGCTACGTATATAAAACCACCTCAATGTAATAGGTTATTAAAACAAACATTAATGTTAAATGTAGATTGTTAGTAAACTGGAGAAAGTAATGAAAAATAAACAAGTTGGTAAAACTGTGTTAGAATGATTCACTGATTCAGAACTGAAGTTTTTCCTCATCTTACCGAACACCAACTAAAATGCTATCGTTACAATAGCCGTATGTTTACACGTGCACAGGATTTTGAAATAGCTAGTGCTGTTTAATCTCACTAGCGCTCTATATATTCATGAAATCTCGATACAGTCATTCTTTGATCTGATATCTTCCATTTTATGGAATGAATATATCAATGCAAAATTGCCGGGTTTTCAAAAACGTATACGGGTCCTTGATCGGCAAAAAAATGGTACGCGGAAGAACGGGTGTCTATTAGACTCTCAGACTAAGTTTCTTTAAAAGACAATATGTTGAACTTTAACGAGAAAATGGTAACGAACTCGTTGCGCAGAGAATTGTGGGATTTAAATATGGGAAGCCAGGCTGCATAGCTCTTTTTTAATTCTTGTCAGCAAATTTATTCCCATAATTCTTTGCACCATGAATAATCGTTTTTAACTCTTCGCAAAATGTGAATGAAATGAATGGTAGGGAAAAATGGAAAGGAAGAAATAGGAAAGGAGGATATATTAAGCATATAATGACATTCATTTATTAAATTGAATAAATGGCACACTTCAGGAAGATATTGACTAAATAAGGAAACTCGATAAAACATATTACATTAAAACTACACATGCTAAATGTAAGTATTAATAAAACATATTGTTACAGCACTTTCCAGGTTTAGAGAACTCAACGGTTTTAGATGTTGTAAATTTTCTATCAAATTCACAAGATTCTGGGCTAATGAATCGTCGATTAGCGAAGTCCAATGAAAACGCGCCACCAAAGAGTTGTGAAAATGCCAGAAGCACGAAAAAGGTCTAAACGGGTAGACGAGTCAGTGCAGTAATTTTTAACCATGGCAAATCTATCAGGATATTATTTTATGCATAGGGTTTCTAGCTCTTAAGCAGACAGGAAAAACTTTATATACACTTAAATAATCTGAGGTCACTCACAAAATATTCGCAGTTTTAACGCAACGGGTTTTTGGCAGCAATGAAGGCAGAGAAAACATACAAAATAGATTTTGCATTAAGACAAATAAATTAACAAGATATTCTCATTTTTAAACTAGTTGAATATTAAGAAACAGAATGAAAGAAAATTACATGAAAACATCTTTACGATCTTACGATTTTTTGCTCAATTTAAAATAAATGTTTAATATAGAGTCGGTAATTCCTAGTGTAATAAAAGATGAAGATAAAGATTAGAAGATATTGATCAGGGTATTGATTTCTTAATGGATTTCTGTCTTAGTGTCTATCTGTCTATCTGTTTCAGTGTCTGTCTGTCTGTTTGTCTGTCTGTCTCAATGTCTGTTTGTCTCGGTGTCTTTCGTCTGTCTGTTTGTCTGTCTGTCTGTATTAGTGTTCTTCTGTCTCAGTGTCTCTGTCTTTTTGTCTGTCTGTCTCAGTGTCTATATGTCTATCTGTCTGTCTCAGTGTCTGTCTGTCACAATGTCTTTCGTTCTCAGTGTTTGTCTGTCTATTTGTCTGTCTGTCTACATGCTTGTCTGCCACTCATTTGACCAGCAAATACGGCTTCTATCTAGTCAGCTTTTCTATAAATATAGTACACTAATACGAATGTTCAAATTTCTACCTCGCAAGCTTAAACATCTTGTATCTTACAGCTTGGTAATGTCTCAAATCATACTCTAGGATTATTTGCCACTAAGATTGAAAAAACTTTTCTAGAACCACACAGTTTACAATGGTATTCGCAGTATTAATGAGAATCCAGCCACTTGGTGTAAAATAAAATCCTAGATATTCTAGGCAAACCCTAGAACAGCACAAGAAGTATCTTTGTAGAGATAAATGCAGATTTATCTGGCTCCATTTTCGAGTGAAAGATGACAGATACTTGACTGAACTCGAAGCAGAATAAACATTGCGGTCTGCAAGTGAAAAATTAAGAGATTCAAGACCAGGAAAAGATTATAATACCAGAGGAATAAGGATAACGCACAGGCGAAAAGAAATACTTGGCGCAATTATTGTGCGCCTCACATGACAGAAGGTATGGACGTATTCGTATTCCGACCTAAGAATTTAACTGGAACCTTGTAAAAGTGTCACACTGATGTAGATGTGTTGGAGTTAGTAAAATGTGACAGAGAATATTGCGCAATTTTTGCGCTTGATCATATGACAAACTGAAGGAGATCTATATTGTGTGTTTACAGGTAAGTATATCATGCGTAGATGCACGAGAGATACAGTTATCTGACACAGGGGAATGCATTTTAACCATTTGAACAAACAAGCCGTTATCAAATGGTAAGAGTAACTAGCATATCGAAAGCCAAAACATGGAGTTAAAAGCGAGTGCGCAAGGCACTAGCAAAGGTTGCTATTGGTTAGTAATAGAAATCACGAAGTTGGAGAGGGTGAGCGTAACGGCTTTATGCACCCACCATGTCGCGGAAATAGTTTTCTAATAAAATACAACGGTATATTTATGTTAATAGGTCTTAACGCTTTCGCAGAATAAAATATTCCGAATCTATCAGTAGAGAAAGAGGAGGGGACTCGTATCAAACCAAGAAATATAAACAAACAAACAAACAAACAAACAAACCAGACAGACAGACAGACATTGTGATTACCTTATTTGGTGTCCATAGATTCATCGCCATTCGCAGCCTTCTCATCTTCAAGCTCATCTTGTTCACTCATTTTCTCGTCGTCTATTCTTTCATCTTGTTTCACTTCACTTCCAATCATTTTCCGTCGTTGGTAGAACAACACATAAGCAGCCTTGGACTGCAAGCAACGTCAACAAACAAAATGAGATTTATTATAAGTCAACGAAACCACAGGGTGACCAGTTAGATTTCACACGTCACACAGGGTGACCAAGCGTAAGGAGGATGAGTTGTGTATAAGGATGCATTGAAGTAAATACATACCACGATTTGATTTTCTCCGATGGGAGTAACACTACTGTCATCGTACGAATACCACTGATCGTCTTCGTGATTCCTTGCGTAAGCCGTATCTGACAACATACAATGGAATGGGAATGGGAATGGGAAGAATGGGAAACGAACTTTACTTAATTTCGTTACAACATACTGCATTAAACATTTAAGTAGTTTGTCATTTTTTTTCGTACACCTCTTTTGGGTTAAGAAAGGTTCTCACGTAGAGCAGATTCCCGCTATACCACACCGTAACAATGAAATAGCTTCCCATTTTTTCCGTATAATCTGTCCAAATCATCTTTATAACACTTAGAAAGGGTTAATACAGGAAAAAAGGTTTTATACTCACAATGGCCTCCACCCATTCCTCCGTAGTGATTCTAAAGCAAGATAAAAAATCTGAGWCAATAAACAAGAATATACTGAATGAATTCTAATTACTGTCGTTTTCAATAACACACGAGAAATCATCGTCGCGTCAGTGTTTGGAGGATGTCATTCAAGTCGTTTCCATGACATTCCATAGGTTCTGGAAAAGGTTGTGTTTTTCGACAATGCCATAAAGACACTTTGAATGACTTTAACCAAAACTTTATTTATTTGCGACGGCATATTGTACGATTCCGCGCGTGTGTTTGGGAACGACTAATAGCTGCAGCATACCGATACAGCAATCAGGTCGTAGGTCGGCTTTGGTGCGTCTTCACACACTTGGAATTCTGAGAGGTCAAGTCCACTGAAATATATAAGAAAAATAGAATAGAATTAGAAGATGTTTAATCATGGAAGTTTTAGAAGATGATTATGAAAGGTATTAGAATATTTTCTCACCTCAAGGGGAAATCTACAAATGTATCGAGTTTATCTCTCCAGAAACTGCAATAGAAATAGCAATCAGAGAATGAAATCTTGTACACAAAACAACAACAAATGATACGATAAGACAAACAATTACCATCAACACAAGGCCCACCACAACCACCACAATAATCATCACCATCACCATAAACACCACCACTACCACACCCACCACTGCCACACCCACCACAATCACCACAATCACCACCATAAACACCACCACTGCCACACCCACCACAATAATCATCACCATCACCATAAACACCACCACTACCACACCCACAACTGCCACACCCACCACAATAATCATCACCATCACCATAAACACCACCACTGCCACACCCACCACAATAATCATCACCATCACCATAAACACCACCACTACCACACCCACCACTGCCACACCCACCACAATCACCACAATAATCATCACCATTACCATAAACACCACCACTACCACACCCACCACTGCCAACCCCACCACTGCCACACCCACCACAATCACCACAATAATCATCACCATCACCATAAACACCACCACTACCACAATCAACACCATATCAAAACCCACAGTCTATCACAATGCATTCCATAACAATGTTAATATCAATAGACGTTACTTCTGTTAATCTCTGTGTTTTGACTGGGGGGCAATTAACATTTGGAAGCTCGAAGGATCTTGGAGGTTGTATGTGTATCTTGATTTCTGGTGTCTGGTAGTAGAAATAGTCAGATAGAATACTTTGAGGACTTATATTGACATGTTATGACTTTACTTGCCTCGTGTAAGAGAACCTCTTAAGATGGACTACCAGTACTTCAGGGAGAGACCAAAGATCAAGCTTCTTGGTGGCTTGTTGATGTTTCTTGCATGTTGGACAATACCTTAAAAACACACCAACATCAGTAGTCCGATAACAAAAGTTTGTTTACAGCTGATATTTAGATATATCTCGTGTGTGGGGCAGGTAAAACACACCAACATCACTAGTCCGATAACAAAAGTTTGTTTACAGCTGACCATTAGATATATCTCGTGTGTGGGGCAGGTAAAACACACCAACATCAGTAGTTCGATAACAAAAGTTTGTTTACAGCTGACCATTAGATATATCTCGTGTGTGGGGCAGGTAAAACACACCAACATCAGTAGTCTGATAACAAGTTTGTTTACAGCTNCACACCAACATCAGTAGTCTGATAACAAGTTTGTTTACAGCTGACCATTAGATATATCTCGTGTGTGGGGCAGGTAAAACACACCAACATCAGTA